TGCTCCATACCAAAGGTCTAGTCATTAGACTAACCTCTCTAAAATCATTTTTTTTTCGAACCACACAGACGCTTATTATTAGAATGATTGTAACTAATAGATTGTTGAATATGCGTTAAAAATATATAGATAAAGAGAAACTATTGCGGTATTTCATTAGTCAATCATAATGTGTCTTGACGATTGTACATCTGAGACAAACAATTTTTATGTAAGATTATCAACTTTTAGAGGCTGGAAGGGAAATAAACCAGTAATAGAGTTAACAGCTTGTGGCTTTTACTATCTACAAACAGCACGTTTTTAACATTGGTTCCTACACAAACGCTATAGACCTGACTAATTTTATCTAAAAAAAAGCTCAACCCTCCCACAAAGATGAAGAAAATAACGAAGAAAGTTACGTTTAATGAAGATTTAAATCAAATATTTTTTATTTACAAACCGGAAAGGGACTACAATTTTGAAATGCTGAACCAAATGCGATTCCAAAATCGTATACATGAAACTGCAATAGTTATTAATCCCGTATTAGATGTCGCCCATAGAAATAATGTATATAATAAAATGAATGTAGAAATAAAGAAATGATAAAAATAAAACTTGCTTCATTGATCCACACACTTATGCGTTAATAAAAAAACCTACATTAGGATAACACAAGTTTATTATTATTTTATGTATATGTTACAAATTAATATATAAAATAAGCTGACTTTAGCCAGTAAATATGTCAACTGGGAAACTAAGTCTTCGTCAGGGCAAGGAATTCCGAATAAGTTAAAATTAAATTTATAATAAGTGCTGCCATCTAGAATGTCCAAGCCAGACCAACAAACGTATCTTACTAGACATATTATATATATCAGCTGTACGATCACTGCTCAGAACAAGCCTCCGCTGAACTATCTCTGCTCTACATACACTCAGCTAAATGTGGTCAGTGAGAATTTAGTACTGAATTTAGTAATGAATGTTAGTGAAAAGAAAAAAGAAAAATGATAGAGGAAAGTAAACATGGTAGCATACCAAAGGGTCTTATACATGTAGCACATCCCAATGATTTAACATACATAGATGTGTGTGCTCCTTATAGTAAAATTTAGCAAATAGGTAGCACACTTATCTATTAAAACTTATTCAACATATCTCATGGATGTAGAATTCGATGGCCACTGCTACGTATATCAATTCGTTCGTATACTGCTGTACACAGTTCGTTCGTTCTATTAGTATGCCCAAACCAACAAACATCTTGACATATAACTCTCAATATTTATATCCTCTACATAATAACAAAATATCAGGTACATCAATATGGACGACGGATACAGCTTTCTTATGGTCGCTATGTTCTAAACCTAAAGCATGACCGAGTTCATGAATAAGGACCATAACGAGATTTGTAATCCGATTTATTTCATCCAAGTCTAAATATAGTTCTACGCAAGTATCATTACAGGATATGAAAATAAGAATACACTAATACTCGATCAGGATCATCAAAACGACTTGTACTGTCCTCTGCAGTTGGAGTGACAATAGTATGCTTTTTAGCTGCCACAGATATCTGATGTAGGAACATGAATAGTCACTCTGATAAAATGCAAATTCGAAGCATCTTCCCACATGTTAATGGCTCTAACAACTGAATTATATATCTTTCACCCGCTTCACCTGGGCAAAATATCATTTTTAGATTTTGTTTAAGCCCATCCATATATAAATTATATTTGAAAAATGTATGAGCGTTGTCTTAAAATCTGTTATAGAACTGTTATCTATATACATAGATATATACATAGATCGATGAAAAAAACTATCAGCATCGTTTTCTGAAAAGGCTTTCTGTTGCTGCTATGAAAAGCAGCAGTAACATACATATTAAAAAACACCACCATCCTTATTTACATACAAAAAACTGATTCATAAGAGTATAAGCATCAAGTTATATATAATCAAATAAAAACATATGATAAGGCGCCAAGCGGCCTTAAACATAAAATTGTGATAGAACAGATCTCACAACATAGTTCGTCATTCGAAACCCTGTAATTTAAGGTGCCATACGATAAGATTCAGCTAATAATAAACGATAGGGTGTCAAAGAGACCTTATACATAGCATTTCCTTAATTCAGACAGCACAATGTAATTCATTATTTAAAATCCTTTAATTTGATGGGTCATACGTCGATTTCCGCTTATCCGTTCAAAATATATAGGGTACAATGCCATAAAGACCGTTGTGATAACTTGGTCGAACTGTAAATGCTTATTTATTGTTATTGACGATAAATCGCTCAATTTTGCACCAAGTGCTCTGTGTAGTATACCATTAGAAAGGTCTTTTCAGACATATTACGAAAATCACCGACCAAGTTCTATACACCCAGTATTTATGACTAAAAATATCGTAAAACGAACCATCGTCAAATTCTCAACACCCTTATCCTAAAAAACATTAAATTTATATAAAATTTATTTATATGATGTCAAACAGGCCTTATACATGTCATTATCGTAAAACAAACATCACAATGTAATTCATCATTTAAAATCCTTTAATTTGATGGGTCATACATCGATTTCCGCTTATCCGTTCAAAAGATATATAGTAAGGTGTCATAAAGACCGTTGTGATAACTTGGTCGAACTGTAAATGCTTATTTATTGTTATTGACGATAAAACAAAACCATTGGCATAGGAAAAACTCTTATCGCAGTTTGATCTCTAGCAAACCTTAATTCGCTCAATTTTGCACCAAGTGCTCCGTGTAGTATACCATTAGAAAGGTCTTTTCATACATATTACGGAAATCACTAACCAAGTGCGATACGATCAATAATTATGGCTAAAAATATCATAAAACGAACCAATGTTAAATTCCTAATTCTCCTGTACTAATACACATTATATCTTTATAAAATTTATCTAGAAATGTGGAGACACGAACGCTGACAGAGACGCTCATGAAAAAATCGAGATTCAAGTGTACCAACACATAATTAAACAAATAACACTCTACTATCTAGGCTATATACCAGGACATGACAGTATGGATACAGCAGTTGATTATTTAGGATAGATACTAAGCGAGGATTAGGCACGAGAAGACACTCATGGTTCAAAAATCTGAAAATGGTTTGGGGCCCACATCGGTCGAAATTCTGAAGCAAGATCCAAATTGCTATGTTAATAGTCAATGTACGCAATGGCAGTTAGATGAAATCAATCCTAGTGTACACTGACCATTTACGTTTAAAATTGCCAAAAATCAAAGACTTGAAATTTTTTATAGAAATATTTTAAAATTCACACATATTTTATTTTAATCATTTTAGTTACAAACAGGATGAGGCCTCATGATAAGACTACTCGTAATAGGAAGTAAAAAATGATAGCGGTAACCACATTTGCAAGTTTGTAAATTGATAATAACGGCTCGCGTACCACAATCATAATTTTATATAAAATATTTTATCTTGTGGTTTTTACTAATAAAAACAGAAAATATATTATTTTATTCTAGAATTTACGTTGCGATATCTGAGAGTATAAATAATCGAATCTAGCACGAATCATACATAGTATTACTGGCAGTCTCAGATGAACTATATTGTGTACAGTTATATAGTGTGTGTGAATAATATAAGGTAAGTTATTTTTTGTAGTAAATATAATTTTATTTCTTATGTCTTATTGTTATTTATTTTTTTTATTTCCTGCGTTTTTTCTAAATTGTATAATGCACCACATATTTTTAACTGAGTTTACGTTTTATTTTAAAAAATAACAGCTCTTTATGATACATTATCTTATTTTATTTCTTTCTTATTTTTTTCTAAATTGTATGGTGCACCTTATATTTGTAATTGATTTGACGTTTTATTTCGAAAATAGCGGCTTCTCTCTCACATGTTTTATAATACTTTTTTATTTTAAATAATAATGCCAAATATATGACCAAGAGCTGCATACTATTTTTATCTTCTTACTCTTAAGAGGCATTGCATACTATATTTTATCTACGAGAGTTAGGATGATGCTGTGGAAGAAGAAAATAACCATTAGTTGACTTTTAATTGATTTATTACAGTGTAAATATGTACAATCTTTTATATAATTATTTTGTCTGAAACACATGCTCTTCTTAATGTATGTTTTAGTCAATTTGTCAAGGCTACTAGGAAAGTCGGATCGTTGTTTTCATTATATAGGAGCCATATTTTGTGCAATTCCTCATGCAGCTGTCCACTTTCAGAACTTGGTCTCTGATTTGTTTGTGACTCGTTTTTGGCTAGGCTGCTTTCCAAAAATTGTTTTGTTCTTTTCGCATCAATGTTTTCATTTGAACTCATCTTTAGCCGTCTTATGTCTTTAGTTGATAAACAATGTCTTGACGAGGGTTTTCTTTTTCTTCTTCTTTCTATCTCAATATACATACATACATGGGTTTGATAATTGTTCTAAATTTTTCTGGGAATGCTTGATGTCTCAAATATCCTTAGGAATCTCTATGAATACCTGTGACTTCTAATATTTTTTTATAGTTAAGGCTGTTAAAATCTAATAGGAGAGGTAATGTTTATTTGATACAAATTATTACATATAAAACATACACACACGCAACTTTATTATTATATTCATTCTTAAAGGTCAGATTTAGTATCTGTTATTGAGCAGATGATGAACTTTAATTTCGAAAGTTTCTTAGTTGTTCTGAAATTTCTTGTTTGCGTGAAGTATGTGCCTGTTATTACTCAATAATATCTAGGTACTTCAGTTCGTCTACGATTTCAGCTGCTTCTTTCCCCATTAAAGCGTCGGCTTCTGAAAGAATTTTAAGGCCTTCTACAAGCATGTTTGGGTCATGATGTTCTTTATATAGGGACCATAACTTTTCCAATTGGACAAATATCTGTTTCTGTGCTATATTACGAATCCTTGTTTTAACAGCTCTTGCGGTAAAATCAACATGATTTTTCTTTGAACTTGACATGTCTTCTGTATCGTGAGCCTTCTGTGATATATGTCTTCTTTTACATTGTTGTTGTTGTTGTGTGTGTGTTGTATCTTCTACGTGGGTATGTAGTTCGACATTTTTTGCGGTACCGTGTAAGGTCTGTGGTCTTCTTTTTTTATTACCCAAATACATCGGCTTAATAATTTTTTCATATTTTATGGTGTGAGATTGATGACGTAATCGACCTCGCCCATCTTTATGTGCGCCGGATATGTCTAGAAGAGCTTTGTAGATTGTCTGATCGGCTAGTGTATATTGTGTAGGTTCTTTCGAGAAGATCAGGTCGTACAGGCCAGGTGTAGCTGTAAAAATGTGTGAATCCATTTGAATGCTATCTTTACCGAACTCAATTGTTTTATTTCCAAACGACCATTCTCCAGTAGACCAATTAACATGTGGACCGTATATCTGGTCTACATTCCCTAAATCTTGCGTATATTTTTCTAAATAAGGGTTGTACGATATTTGCGTATGTAGAGGTTCGATGTCATCACTGACCTGTGATGGCGGATGAGTTTGTGAATCATCTTCGTTGGGGTCTGGTTTAGGGACATTCACATAGTTGGCTATTTCTTTAAGAGGTGCAGTTATTGGCTTAAACGTTGTCTGTAGAAGTTCGTTGTCATCAGCTTGCATTCTTCTAAGAGCTTTATACTTTTCTCTCACAATTGCAGCAAGTTTCTTTACTTGAACCGCTCTGTTTGGAGACATGTTACCAAATGAATTCTTGACTTTGAGTCCTTATTTTTATACATCTGCACCCTTCTGTTATCATGTCTCTGATGACGTTTGTACGTCTCAGATATCCCTCTATGGTCGCCTATGACTTCTGTTAGCATGTATCTGATGACGTCTGGTGCCCCTGTGTGGTCGCCTATGCTGTTCTGTTAGCGTGTCAGTAATGGTGTTTACATGTCTCTGCTATCCTCTGTGTCTCTACATATGTGTCACTGCTCCTGTTTGGTCACCTATGACTTCTGTTAGCATGTATCTGATGACGTCTGGTGCTCCTGTGTGGTCGCCTATGACTTCTGTTAGCGTGTATCTGATGACGTCTGGTGCTCCTGTGTGGTCGCCTATGACTTCTGTTAGCATGTATCTGATGACGTCTGGTGCTCCTGTGTGGTAGCCTATGCTGTTCTGTTAGCGTGTCAGTAATGGTGTCTACATGTCTCTGCTATCCTCTGTGTCTCTGCATATGTGTTACTGATGGCGTCTACATGTCTCTGATACCCTCTGTTGGTGTGAAAGAAGATGGCGGCCTGAGCGGGCACTTAGTAGTGATGTATTATTATTTAAATTACACCTCTTTTTGGTCACACCTGTGTAGGGTGTCAGTTCTACCTATGTCAACTAAACATCATGCGCTGTTACCTATATTATTGTTGAGAATTGAGGTACATTTTATTTATTAATGTATTTTTTTAAAGTATTTTTGCTACAGTGTTAAAAATATTTTCTCGTATGTCCAGTAGACATGCCTCTGTGAAATATGCTATCGTCGATTTGCTTTTCTTAAAATCATGATAAATATCAAACATTTTTCTATCTTCACCGCTTTTATATATAAACATTCCTTTTTTCATCGTAAATTCCATTTGATGAGGTAAATGATGTTTTGTAATTACATCTGTTGGATCGAATACTATCTCATTATATTTATTCCAGAAAAGTGCCGTATGCCATTTGAGTAGACCTTTGTACCTATTACCACTTTTGTTGCTATCCCATACTGCCTGGCAACTTCATAAAAGATTAAACTAGCCGATAAACACGCGCCTGCGTAGTTGGCTCGAATAAATTCTTGCTCCATACATGTCTTGATCAAGTTTAACTGAATGTATTGTTTTATATTGTAGCAACTGATGTGTCTGCTTTTGACTGTTATTCGATGAATGAAAACTTGTTGCTAATAGTCAGAGTGTGTTAGTGATGAAAGTGGTGGTGGGAGTTCCCTCATCGAAAGTTTATGTAAATCTAACTGAATAGTTTTCAATGCCGTGTTTATTTTTCATATATCGATATATATCGGTTCTATTCATACATTTTCCACATCTTTCGCAAAGTAGCTGACGTCTATCATAATTAAAATGACATTCTTTGAAATCTTCGTAACTAGATCAGGAAGAAGAATTATATGGAACCCACTTTCCGCCATTTAAACCTCCTTTAATGTAACAGGTATCACAAAATTCGCTTGGGGTGACATCGGGATACTCCTGAAGACAACTCTTACAATTCCTAACCATGACTCCTTCTTGTGATGGAATGATATAGAATGCACTATGAATGAGTCAACGTATAATTTTATATACCTACACCAATCTAATTAGCACAGAGTATCTTTTACTTTCTAATAAATTTTTTTTCATAGTTGGCAGTACTGCTTCTTTTAATGTTGGTAGTACTGATACTTCCTTGTATCGTTCATAAAATGAGTAAGGAGTACATGTGACCAAGTTCAATAAATGTCTTAAATGTAGCACTTTTACGTTGATTGTTATGGAAGAACAAGCACAAATCGATACATTTCAGGGGCCTTTTATGAACCATTCAGTCTTCCGTTCGACTAAAAAGTATATTTAATACCCAGCATTAAGGTATTTCCTTTATTCTGTTTCAGATATTCCTAGCGATCAGACGTGTGTTCTGGTAATCATTCAAAAGTGTGCTCTGGTGAGTGATATTTTCATAAAGTTTTTAAATTTTTTGAAAATTTTGGATTTTTTTTTTGGTTATTTTGATAATTTTTGAATTTCTGATTTCAATTTTTTTAAATAAATTTTGAATTTCAGATTTTGGGTTTTTGTGATATTTTGGTTTAGAAAAAATATTTGGTTTCTAATCATATTTAGTTTTTAAATTTTTTGTTTATAATTTAATTTTATATTTTTGGTATAAACATGTTGGCCAAACTTATTACAATTATAGCATCCATCTTAGGCTTAATCAGAACTGATTATAATGAACAAAATGTACGAAAAGGATTGGTAGAATGTACGAAAGCAGTCAAAAAGATTAGGGACTCTATGAGATATGCAAAAACGATGGGGGAGAAGCAGCACCTTGAAGCCCAGATGCGGCAAGTAAAAACGTTAAGAAACCAACTGAAGGCCGAACAGAAGAAGGGGGCGGGGCTTAACATTCGAAGGAGACTGCTACACAAGGGTACAATGGGATGACTCCATATCAGCATTCAACTCGAGAATTAGAACGGGAGTCATCTCAAACCTCAAACACAAGGACCCTGGCAGTTTTCTTAATGATTGCAAAGCCCTGTTTAAGCGGGATTCAAAACGCACTCAAGAAAGACGAGGCAGTAAAGGTGAATATGGTATTTGGTGGAGACTTCGAGATAGCCAGCGGAGAGAAAATCCTTAAAGATACAAAATATTTCACCACATCGAACTCACCCATCTATCGAGACACCAATCTTGATGAGTGGTTTGAAAAGAAAGTGGTGGAACCCATCAACAGAGACTTGGAAGAATTCCAAGAACGTGATTCTGGATGGGCACTAAAAGCTGTTGTTAACCTGGGGGTAAACATTAATAAATTTACACCGCAACTAGGCTCCTCATACGTCGAACTCCTCCTCAAATAAAAAGAAAGAAGGCATGTATTAATGTTAAAAATGATGATGAGGCGTGCTTCGCGTGGGCCGTTGTATCAGCGTTATATCCATGTCGAAATAACTCTGCTTTAATGAGCTCATACCCGCACTACTCTAAAGTGTTAAAGTTGAAGGGAATTCAGTGGCCTATGACCATCAAACAGATGCCCAATTTTGAAAAGCAGAATGACATTTCAATAAATGTTTATGTTCTAAAAAAGAATAAAAGCGATTTTACGACCCTGCCAACCTATTTAACAAAGAACAAGAAGATTAAGCATGTGAATCTGCTTTTGGTACAAGATAAATATGATGATGAGTCGCCTACGAAGTACCACTATGTGTGGATAAAAAATCTGTCCCGCCTTCTTTCGACACAGCTTAGCAAAGAAAAGAAAACAAAATATTTCTGTAATGCATGCCTGCATTATTTTCGATCGGAGGAGATGTTAAATATTCATAAGAAATGTTGCACAGGGCGATCAGATGTTATCTGTGATCGATGCTTACAACCGTTTTCATCGGCTATTCGGCTGGAAGCTCACATCAAAGACTGTGTACGAATTAATGAAACAGCCGTTAAAATGCCTGACGAAAATCATAAAATGCTTAAATTCAAAAATTACAGGAATAAGATTAAAGCCCCCTTCACCGTATACGCAGATCTCGAAAGTGCTTTGATACGCACGGGAGATCCAAAAAAACCTCAGGAGCATATTCCTGTAGCAGTTGGTTATTTCTTTAAATGTTCTTATGATGATTCTTTGTCGTATTATAGCTCATATCGAGGAAAGGATTGCATGAAGTGGTTTGCAGATGAACTTAATCAGCTTGCAGAGAAAGTGTCACCAGTGTTTTTGTGCCCGTATGATATAAATATGACATCTCAGCAAGAGAGTGATTTTCATGCAGCCACTCATTGTCATATCTGTGAGAAACGCTTCTCTCCCCAATGATAAGAAAGTGCGAGACCACGATCACCTCACTCCAGAAAATAATTACAGAGGGCAGCTCATGAAGGTGTAACATTAATTACAAAGACGCTCACACTATTCCAGTGATATTTCATAACCTCTCAGGATATGACGCCCACTTCATTGTTAATGATATTGCTACACACATCAAAGGCCCCGTAGATCTTCTTCCTATTACTAAGGAAAAATATATCTCTTTTACGAAACACATTGATGACGCTCGAATTAAATTCCGTTTTATCGATAGTTTTCGATTCATGGCGTCTTCCCTCGATAAACTTTCTTCTTATTTGGTAGAATATCCTAATCTCAAGTCCCAATTTTCATCGCTTCCTGAGGAGCAATTCAGTCTTCTAACCAAGAAAGGTATCATGCCTTATGATTATATAGATTCATTTAAAAAATTTGCTGAAATGTCTCTACCCCACATTGAGTCCTTTTATAATAAACTTGAGGATAAACCATGTCCTCGTCGACATTATCGTAGAGCCCAAGATGTCTGGTCTTCATTCTCGTGCTCCACTCTCGGGGATTATGTTGATCTCTACATGAAAACAGACATCCTTCTTCTTGCAGACGTTTTTGAACAGTTCCGATCCAGTTGTCTCAAAACATATAATCTTGACCCAGCTCATTACTTCACTCTTCCCGGCTTCACGTGGGATGCAATGCTTAAACATACAAAACAGGAACTGGAGCTTTTAACAGATCCAGATATGTTTTTGTTTGTGGAGCGTGGCATTCGTGGCGGTTTGAGTCAAGTTTGTAGTAAACGTCGATCATGCGCTAACAATCCATACATCAACAACTATGACCCATCTAAACCGAAAACGTTTCTTATGTACTTTGACGTTAATAATCAGTATGGTTGGGCAATGTCTCAATATCTTCCCTATGGTGGATTCGAGTGGGTCGATACCAATATAGACGTTATATCTATTCCTGATGATGCTTCTGAAGGGTACATTCTCGAGGTTGATCTGGAGTACCCTCAACATCTCCATGATCGTCATAAAGACATCCCATTCTGCCCAGAATCTTTGAACCCAAAAACTATGCTTCCTCCTAAACGTCCACGAGAGCAGACAAAATTAATGGCCACCCTTACTGATAAAACAAAATAT